GCAAATAATTAAGGTGGTTTGGGCATCTGAATTCCTGGTACTAGACACCAGAGGAATAATCAAACTTTTAATTTTGCATTCTAACAAAAAAGGAAAAGTGTGGGTCTTTTTTTTAACACTCAATCTTACTGCTCCTTTGGCTTCCTGAACGTTGTTCTTTTCCTGGTTCCTGCTAAACGTAGCTCTGCCAGATAATGCTGCACTTTTTAGCAGACACACTGAGAAGAGCAGAATCATTAGCACGCCATGTGTGGTTATGTTCATGATAGCATGGAGGGTGTATTTTCTCTCTGATAGGAGTTACGTGGGGATTTGTTCGTAAGACGCTACTTGCTGGATGGCACCACAGAGCAGGGAGAATGCACACCAAGAATCAGCTGTGATGCTGGTGATGTGGCACTGCTGGAATGGGTGCCACAACTTGCTCAGCATGTCAGGACAGGGAAGCCATCCTTGCCTGGCATCTACAACTGCAGAGTCTCCAGGCTCAGGGTGCTGACAGCTCTGTCCCCTGACTGTCCAAACACTAATCTTTGTGTTGGCAAAGCTGGAGCAAACTCCTTAGCTGATGTAGCAATGTTTCTGTCAAGGATGACTGCACCTATTAAGTCCCTTTGTGGGCCAAATGCAATGACTTTGTTGAATACAGGTGCCGTGTGGGTTGCATTTTGGGGATCCTTGTCCTAAAGCATCATTTGTAGTCAGCTGCAGGCATCTAGTTCAATAAGCCAAAAAACAAACAGACAATCCTGCCAAGGGTTTCAGTGCACCTCACATGGGTGCAGTCCTGAGGCATCTGGTTCCAAAGAGTTGCTACTCAGGCACAGATATTTTCAGGGAATTAAAGAAGTTCCCCTATTAACTGAGTCCAATGCGGCCCCAGTCTCTCCAGTTAGATTTGGAACTACAGCCTCCTTTGCTTCTTAAGTTTTTATGAACATCACACTTTTAAAAAAGTATCTCACACCTGGACACTGGCCTTGAACATCTCAGCCCATACTTCACTATAAAATCTGTCACATTCTTGTGGCATTTCTGTCCCATAGCATCTCAAATTTAGTGGCCTGGGTGCCCATAATATTAAGTGCCTGGAGATACAACGGTCTTACAGATCTGCAGCATTTTGTAACTGCACGTGAATGTCGTTCGATAAAATATAAACTGCGTTTTGCTACAAATTAAAGACGGTCTCTTTCTTTTTTTGCAGAAACTTTGGTAGATTATTAGGACTGTTAGCTGTTTTCTGAAAACTAGTGGGCCTACTTTGCAAGAAACTCAGCAAGACTCTGCACACACACACATATAACAGGCAAAGCCCAATTTCTGCCTTGAGAGCCTTTCCTACTGCAAACAGGCAAGATGTCCTTTTCCTTTTCTCTTTGCAAAAGTACTTGTTTTGGGCATCTGCTGGCAAAGTAAACCCCCAAAGTATGAGGTTCCTGTGAAATAACATTTTAGGGGGAATTATATGAAAATAAAGCAGAGCTTTGCAGCATTTTATAAATACTATGGTCTAAAAGTAATGTCTGTAGAGTACTAGGAAACAGAAGCCAAAGGAGAAGGGAAGTGACTGTAACCAGCCTGTGGTTATTTATGACTGCCATCTGTGTCATTATGCAGCCTGTCATGTTGATTTGGGAACTTCAAAGCAACA